CAGGATGACTGGGGAAGCCACACGTTCATGGCAGAAGACAGCTTGGTGAGGAGCAGTTCTGCAGCCAAGGTGGAAGCAGAGTATTTCACCGAAGTCAGGACTTCCACCGTTCATTGTAAGACATTCTAATCTCAGAAAAGTTAAAACAAACCAACAAAAAAAAAAAAAAAAAAAAAAACAAAAAACAGATACGCTTCACACTTTCTCCATTAAATGATACTTTTCTCTATTTTGACATCACAAACGGTCTTAACAGTTTGTATTCGGTGAAAATCTTAGGGCCTGTCAGAGTCTTCTTCTCTTCACAAGCTCAAGCAAATGGTTTTTGGACATCCAAGTCTTCATCCCCAGATCCTCCATCCCTTAAGGCTCCAGAGAAAAGTAAGAGCAATGCTTCCCTCCCAAGCCCACCTGGAGCAATGTCAGCTCTACATTTTGACTGTTCCTCAGTGCCTGAGAAGAACTGTACACATGTGGCTGACAGACGGGGCATTTCCAGATTCAATGGTTTCATTTTTTCAGAATGTGTCACACTGCCCTGGACCCAGGTAGGAAAACTCTTCATAAAGAAAGATGTTTGTACAGGAGACCACACACGTAGGGGCTGGGGGGTCAAGGTCACCTGTATACAGTGAGCAGAGGTCAGTCTGTTATGTGTATTGATCAGTTTGCTATAAGATTGCAATGCCTTCTTTCTGTGTTGTCTTCTTCACACAGAAGGCCCCTGTCTCCTGCCTGTGGGCTCCCTCCTAATGCTTGCTGAGCCAGAGTTTGGCTTTGCTGTTACATATGAGTCACTGGTTTGGATGAGCTTGATAATGTGGTAGATTTCATTCTGTGCTTTTCATTCTCTGTCTTACTTAGACCATCACCTCTGGAGCAAATCCTGTGTCTGCTTGTTATACAGTCCCAAGAATACACCGATGCTGAGCAAGAAAGTAAGCAGAGATGTGAGATGGAGTCTAATATTTGTAACAAGTTCATCTATCAACATTTGGACACTGGTGCAGAATCAATTTTCATGTATTAATTTGCTCCTGTTGTCATTTTAATGCATTTGGGCTCTCTTCCTCTCCACATGTACACCTGCCAACACATAGTGCTAGCAAAACTGAGATGCTTGAAGCAAAACTCACCTTCCTCTTGAACTCTAAACACTCCTGGACAGAACACCATTTTTATTTCTGTATAAATGATGATCATATTGAATAGGCTTTATTAGAGACAAACTTTGGTAAAAACAATAGTATCATATGTGAAATCTTAGGTCTGTTGAATGTTTCCACTTAAGATGTCATACATGGCTTTTATATGATGTAAAAACCAAGTCAGGCATCCTTCTCATTTTAAAAGGTGGATAAACAGGTGTGCAGAAATATGAGGTGAGACTTTATCAATGCAAGGTTAGGAAAGAGAAGATGGTGGGAAGAGAGGGGAGAGCAAGAAGCAAGGAAGGGAGAGGGGAAAGGATGGAGGGAGAGAAAGGAATTAAGAACAGGGAAAATATGGGCTAAGGAACTGGCTCAGTTGGTAAAGGGCTTGTAGTGCTCACACGAATGAAGGTCCTGAGCTCAGGTCCCCAGAACTCACATAAAACCCAACACCCAGTAGCCAGTGCCTGTGATCTCTTTGCTGAGGGGACATTTCCCTGGAGCTTGCTAGTGGAATCAGTGAGTTCCAGGTTCAGTGAGAGACCCTGTTTCAAAAAAACAAGGAGGAAAACGACTCAACTTCTAGCTTCCATGCACACACTCACAGGTGTGTCTGTACTCACAGGCACACACATACACCACACGCACATGGAAAAGGGGAAGTGTGAAACTATTTCTTTAGCAATTTGTTCTTCAGGCACATTTGGAATCAGCAGCAAGTACAGCACTAACAGTTGTGTTAGCAGTAGCATTAACACCAATAACAGGAGTATTGGTAGCAAAATAGCAGTAATTGTGACAATAGTGATAACACCATTGGTTTGTTTATCTTTATATACCAAAGATTTTCCCATGGAACTTTCATATGCAGTGTTTCAAGGTTCAGTCTTCAAACCTGGGATAATTATTATGGACTCCATTTCATGAGAAGGCAGCTGAAACTCAGAGCCATCATTCTTTTCCAAGTCGTACAGCATCTAAGGAAGTCATCTCTAGCCTTTAACACAGTGGGTTCTGCCATGGGCCATCATCAACCTAGCATATATAACTTTTCCTTCTCTTCTGAGCAGCTTGTGACTTCCACCCTATACCCCTACAAATCCATATGCTGTATCTGGGAGGAAATTTGAAGAGAACTCAGGCCAGACACACAGGTGAGGTAAGAGTCAGAAATGAGATCACAGAAGAGTCTTAGAGGAATTGCCCTGCAGAGTGTTGGGCTCTCTGAAAGTGGCCTGACTCAGTGCTTCTCAAGAAGAGATTAGGACCCAGGGATAAAGAAGGCGGTGTTCTCTGGCTTCATCAACTCTGCTTTCATGGAGGAGAAGTCTCGCCTGTGGCTTGATGGTGGTGATTCTTATTTTCCCATTGTCTGCCTGCATTTAGATCTTCTGGCCTACAAAGTGCTCCGGGGCTTCAAAATGGGCAGGATGTCATGGACTCCACTGCATGCATGCAGCTCCACCCCAGGAAACCCAGGCCACAACAGGGAAGGCCCTTTGAACACAGACTATAAAGATTCCCAGGAATCCCCCACCATTTCTGCAATTGCTGCATGTTACTCAAGTGATGATAAAGGATGAAGCAGACAGAAACAGTGCCCAAGTGAGGGAGAACATTATGTTTTGTGGAAATAGCAATCCCTGTGTGAAATCCTTGACCTGGGAGGTGTTAGTTTGCAACACCCCCCCCCAAAAAAATGTAGAAAACACACAACCCTTTCCTGAGTGCTGTGTACTTCCCAGCCTTCCTGGGAAACTGATGGGTGTCATAGTTATGACCAGACCTCCAGGCTAATCTTTCCTTTAGAAAGATCAAGAAGGAAATGGGAGTGGGGGAGGGGAAAGAGAAAGAAGTGAAGCTGTCAGTGTGCTTCATGTTAAATAAAACCTACCAAGATTCAGCTGAGAATTTTAGCAGAATCGAAATGTGCTAGGGGGAAAAAAAAAGGCATGGCTCCCATCTCCAAGGTTCACAGCTAAGCTGGCTTCGAATCACACATGCCAAGGTTAAAAATAAAAAGCATTCATCCCTGAATGACACAGGCTCCAGAAAGGAAGCCTGGGGTATGCTGTTTGCTGGAGGAGGGAGGAACAGAGGAGAGCCTGGGAACAACATAGAGGTGCTTATGGGAGAGTGCATTACCTAAAAGCTAGATGCTCAGAATTTTGCTATTTTGCACTTAAAAGGCACTTCACAGAGGAAAAAGGTTTCATAACGATCTTCATATTTTCCATCGAGGAAACCCTGGCATACAATGAGTGTGGCTGACCTCCAGTAGGGCACTACTGTTCAGTGCTTTGCAGCCTGTCGCTGGGGTCTGGTTCAGAAAGTAAACACATAACTAGATGAAATACCCATGGGTCACAGTTCAGGAAACATGGTGGGCCATCGGCATTGGCATGAAGCCACACCTGACTGTGTGCCAACTGACCCTTGATTGACTCCAGTGCAGACAATGTGTCTGGTTCTTGGGGACAGCATGCATCCCATTCCTATCTCCTAACAGCCACAGCCACTGCTGGCCAGGACTACCTGAAAAGGGTGACAGGTCACTCCTATGGGTTCCCCTTTTTTGAAAATCCAGAACTCTTTGTTATGACTTCCTTAGGATCATCTTTGTAATGAAATCATCCTTTGTCCAGTATGCTTATGAGTCCACTGACTAAACAGTCTCCTTTTATGGGAAAATAAAAGACATAGCCTCAGCAACTGTGTCAGCTTCTATGGTATCTCTCCACAATCCCATTACCATGCAGAACTGTATAGAATATCTCCCAGGTAGATTCCCCGACATCTCAGAAGCCCATACATTATACTCCAGCCCCAAAGGTGCCCCAATCAGTCCCTCTGTGGACCTATTCTGAATGTCCACATCACACGGGGTGTAGAAGGCCAATGAACTCTGGAGGACTGGAGAGTGAAGGCTGCCAGCTCAGTTAAGCCTCATTGTGTGTCCAGACACCACCCACTGGGGCAAAATGTAGCCAACAGAAGTCCAAGGGAAGAGTGGGCATTCTAGGCATGTCTGACTATTCCTAGGATCCCGTCTAGCCTTCGTTTTAAGTGCCCACCTGTCTTCCAAATTCCTCCTGTTGGTTGCTATTTTAAAAGCACCCCCAATGCTAAGTGTCATTTTTACATCTTTCAAATACTTTGAAAAAAACCTTGGCAGGCAAACAGGGCAAGAACTATTTTCTTGCCCCTTGTGATGGATGGGGAAAGAGAGGCTGCCAGAGTTTGAGGAACTTGCACAATCTAAGTGCCAGAGCCAGGACTAAAACCCAAGGTTTCTTCCTTTCCTCCAAGCTCATTAACCCAGGACTAGAGTGGCTAAGGGAATGAGCCCCAGAATGGTAGCAAATATTTGCAGCTGAGACTGGCATTCTCGAAGGGTCAGATCTTGTTCCCTTTCTCTTCGAAAGAACTTGAAGCACACTCTCATTTTGTCTAAAGTATGGGAACCTATCAAGACAGAAACCACCCCAGATGGCCCCAGGTGCCACAGACCAGGGAAGACCAGCTCAGGACCAGAGTAGGGCTGTGGTCAGACAACCCTTCGCTGTGGGCAAGCAGTCTCATCCTTCTTAAAAACTGGATATGGAAGCCAGCTTTCCAGCCAGTACCTATGTTTGACTGGAAACATCCCCTTTCTTCCATGGACCCCAGAGACAGGAAGACATGCCCTTTCCATTTGCACTTCAAAGAACCTCGTGTAAAGCTAGTCTCTGGAAGTTCTGGGTGGATCCTCCTACAATAATCACTCACACTCCCTTGCCAGCTTAAGAAAGGCAAGGGGTAGCTACAAGGAGCGCTCACAGTGGAGATGTGGTTGCCTGCCCCCCTTACCTGTACCAGTCCAACCCTCTGCCGTAGTTCCTGTCGAAGAAGTGGGGCTCTGTGCCCAAGGCCCGTACGTCCGGGTGTACACGGATAAACTCCAGCACTGCCCGGGTTCCCCCTTTCTTGACGCCCACAATGAGGGCTTGGGGCAGCCGTTTGGTGCCCACCTTCGGGGAGCCAGAGTGGTTGGACCCAGAGAGGCGCGGTGCTGGAGCGGCTGCGGCTGGTGAGCTGGGAGCGCTGGGCTCACTGGGCGTCGGCCCCGGGGGATCACACGGGCGGGACTTCGCCAGAAGTTTCTGGCCGCTTGCACTGGGGCTGCGGAGGCAGCGCGGTGCGCCGAGCAGGCGGCTCTGGCCCAGACCGTCGCAGCAGCACAGGAAGCTGTAACACAGGTAAGTGCAGGACAAGGACAGCGTGAAGGCGAAGAGCAGCCTGCGCGCTCTCCGCGGCTGAGGTGGCCCCGCACGGCCCAGGACCCTATAGGCCATAGCTCCATGGGCCCGCGCCGGGGGTCATGGTTTCTGAGGTGGCACCTGCGGCGGAGCTGCTGTGTGGCCCTGCGATTGCCTAGAGGGCTCGCGTGGCGCTGTCCCCGCCGTGCGGGTCGGGCGTAGGAGACACCTTCTCTGGAGGTTGCTAGCCTGGGCGAGCACCGTGCCCAGGGGTCCCGGGAATGGTGGCTCCTCCGGGACTGGGTGGCTGCATTGCCAACATCTCCTGGTGCTAGGCGATGGGGGCTCCGGGAAGCGGGGCAGCTCCTGGCACTCTTCGGGGCTCTCAGGCGCGTCGGGTTCGGAGCGCGCCCAGCGCCCGAAGCCCCATTCTGGATGCTCGGAGCGCCTTTCAGGGGACGCTCGGTGGCCGCGCGGCTGTGCCGGCGGGAGGATGCGCGGACCGGACGGTGGCGCTGGCGCCGGCCGCGTTCAGGCTCCTCGGGAAATGCCGAGTGGAGCGCGCTGCCGGCTCTATTTAAGGAGTCGCCTGACGTCAGCCGCGCGGGTCCCCCGAGCCCGCGCCGCGCCCGGGGACCTGGCCCGCCCCTTGCACCCCCACTCTCTTATTCCGCTCAGGTACAACACCGCCCCAGGCCCTCCCCTTGAGGACCTCTCCTTGGCCAGCTTGGAGAGATGAGGGGAGGGTGGCCAAATACACCGAGTACTCCTTAGGGAGATTAGTCACCCCCACCACTCTGGCCTCTGGACACCTGAGTCGATATTACGCCAACACCCACCGCAGACAAACCGGGGTGCTGATGCAAGCACCCAACCCTAATACTCGGTTCCACTACACTCACCCACACATGCACCATGCACGCACTGGCACAGGAGCAAACTCACCCTAACCAGGATACACCCCAACACCCCACAGGAGGTGGATAAGAACATAACAAGGACACACCCCATCCACAGCCATCTCCCTGAACCAATACACACAGCCTGGAATCTGGCATCGTGCAGTGTGCGCACACGCCTGGGACCCGGGCGCACACTGTAAAGCGGATGGGTGGAGGAACAGAGCGTGAGTGAGATTCCGTGACTAGTTACCAAGCCCCCTAGCACCGGCGCGCTGACTCACACCCAGGCGGTTTGCTCTGTCTCGCACCTAGGGAGCAGAAACCTCCACCCGACTGGCACACCACCTCATCCCGCCCCCTTCCCTCTCTGCCCCCCTCTCCGCCCACTTTCCCCTCCCAGGCCTGGAAGGAGAACGAGCCCCAGAGCGGCAGACTTATTTCTTGGCGGCCGCCCCCTAGCGGTGGACTGCTCCCCAGGGAGCTGTCCAGGGTACCAGACGCTCTGTAAGGGTCAGCTTGTAGCTGGCTTTTCACAGTGATGCCAATTGGCTGTTGCGGAACAGTTCCCAGTGACTAACTCCAGAACATGCTTCTGTGAGGAAACCCAGTGATTTCCTGAGAGATCACACTAGTACTTGGTTAGAATCCTGCATGCTAGGTGGGAATGTCGTTCCTTAAACACGTTCCCAAAGTGAAGACTCTCATAAGATGGCTGGATGACCCCTCCACCAGCCTCATCTTCCATTAGGCTACTGATGACTTTAGGGCAAGGTCTGTATATTCTTGTTCAAACTAGAAAAAACATTTGCCCCCAAGCCATGCCCATCCCTAGAAAATTTAGTCACTAACTATTAATACATATTCACACATCTTAAATCGTTTAATAACTGTTAAAGCCTACCATATTATTACCATTTTCCCACATTTCTTTGGATTATTTTTAAATAATATTTTATTTATTCTGAGAATTTCATATTACCCCAAATCCCATACCCTCTCAGAACCCTCTAACATTTCATTTCTTCTTCATCTTAAAAAAATAACTTGAGATCAATTAGTGATTTCCATAGGTGATTAGGTGTGGGGCCATCAACTGAAATATGGGCAACGTACCAGTAACTGCACCTCTGAATAAAAAGGACTCCCCCAGAAGCCATCAACTGCCACTAGCTCCTCATCCAGGAGTGGGGCTTCATGAGCTCCTTCTCCCTCTATGCTGGAATGTTGACTGGCTTGATCTGGTGTAGATCTTGTGCAGTTAACCACTGACACTGAGTTCAGTGAATGCAGTGGCCACAACATGTATGTTCTCCTCTCCATCTTCCAGTTCTAACATTCTTACACTCCCCCTCTTCCACAATGTTCCCCAAGCCTTGGGAGGCATGTGATATAGATGTCCTTTAGGGGCTAAGCACTCATAATCACGTATTCTCAAAATTTTGACCAGTTGTGAGTCTCTGCAGTAATCACTGCCTATTGTGAAAGAGGGTTCTCTGACCAAGGTTGAGAGCTGCACAGACCTATGCCTTTATCTCCACGTGTACTGTGCAATTTAGAATCTTAATTCTAGAAATAGCTAACATGTATCAAGTGCTTGTTTTGTGTCATAATGTGCAAACCACTTAAAAGGCTTTGCCTCATTTATCTTTGGAAATAGGTATTATTATAGGTATTATTATAAGTCCCAATTTACAGTGAGTGAAAAGAGGTTAAATAAACATATACTCAGTAATTGACAGAGCTAGGATTAAACCCAGACAGTCTGGCTCCAAGATTCAAGGTTTTAATTACAGAGCTCTGAAGCTTCCGAACTTCCTTTGAGCATCATTCACATAATTCCATCCCAGGCTACTCTCCTGGATATGTACACATTTGTCTAGATTGCTATTAAAATCTGGTACCCAGAACTGGTTGAGAATTCTAGGTAAAGAATGAAAAATTCAACAGGACCAATAATGTCACCTAAGACCCCTCACCTTTTTCTTGTAGCTACATCACACTGCTGATATCTCCAGCTTGCCACCAAGTAACATTTCAAGTGTTTCCTACAAGTGCTGATGATTAAGGCATAGCTACCCCCTACTGTGCTTGCACAGTGGACTTAAAGAGGAAAAAAAAAAGTCCTAACATGTAGGTTCTTACACATTTGACCTGATTAAATTTCATCTCATCTCATCAGTTCATGGCTACAGTTAGGATTTTTTCTTTTTCTTTTTCAAATGTTTGCTTGAATCTCAAGTCATGATTTAGTCTTCATATTCTTGAAAAAATAGAAAGGTTAAATCCACACTTTGTTTTTTGAGGGTTTGAGAGAGTGAACCCAGGTCTTTGTGTGGCTAGGAAAACATTACCAGAGAGCTACATTTCCAGCTCTTGGCTTTACTCTTGATTCCCCGTGTATTCTGGGAAGGTGTTTTGCCCTCTCTAAGCCTCAGTTTCTTTAATTTGTAAAATGGAGGGGGTGCTATAAGCAACCACAAAAGCCTCACAGTCCCACTGTTGAAATTCTGTAGTTATACGATTTCATTTTTCCAAAGCAGGAGCCAGTCTCTTGGCACTATGTCACCCCCACATCTGATCACAATTTAATTAATTCTTCACTCGAATTGCTAATAAAAATGTCAAAACAGATATGCAGAAAGGAGTTCTAATGCATGCTTTCAACAGTTCTTCACACCCCTAGCCTATTTCTGCACTCCATTGTTAAAATCACAAGGCTGGATGTAGTGTAATACACCCTGGCACACCTATTCCTTAGGGAAAAGCCATGGACATGGTTACACCTTGCCATTTTGTGCTTGCATCGAGTTTTAAAATACTTCATTTCTTAATAAACTCTGGTAGTTCAGACACACCAGAAACAGGTGACTTTTCTCCTTCACATCTTAACCAGCGTAAAGACCAAAGGAGTGGTAGAATTTCTGAGGGAATGAGAGTGGCAGTCCCCAATTCTCCCTAGGGAGTAACCAGTAGAATTCTGAGTCACATGGCTCGTCAGATAGTATTCACCTAGAGAAGGTATATGTCTTGTTTTCTATCACATGCAAGTTCTGATGAAGGTGATTTAGGGATGGCATGGCAGTTAACGGTAGGAACCTAGGCTACCATGTGCTTTATCATGTCTTCTTCATTATAAAGTCATTCCATATCCCATGATGACCTAACCACCTCCTGTCAGCTTGTTCATATTCTGGTCATCAGTCAGGAAGAAAAGAGCAGGAGAGCACATGCCATTTCCCTTTAAGGACACTTTTATGGGGCATCTACATTATTCCCACATATTGATCAGTGTTGTCACATGCTATACTGGTTTGAATAAGAATGGCTCACATAGACTCATATACCTTGAAAAATCATTTTTTTCTAAACAGCTTGTGTGGGCTGGATCTAGTTCAAAAACAGGTATGTGACCAAGCTTATAGTTATATGTCTTATAGTTATATTTCCATGAATCTAAACAATCCCAACTCTTTCCAGTGAGAATTAACCACGGAACTTTAATGGAAACTTTCCTTTCTTTATTACAAGCTGGACAAAAAGAGCTTCAATTCCAACAGTCATATGAGCTGCTAAGGGGGTAATTCTAGCTTGCTTTCTGTCGATGCAATAAGCAACATGGCCAATAGCAACTTGGGGAGGAAACTGTTTCATCTTACAGTCTGAATTCCATCATCAAGGTATGCTAAGGCAAAAACTCAAGGCATGAAACTAGAGGCAGGAAGGGAAGCAGAGGCTGTGGAGGGTTCTGCTTACTAGCTTGCTCCCCATGGATTACTCAGCCTGCTTCTTCCTTCCTTCCTTCCTTCCTTCCCTTCTTTCTTTTTCCTTCCTTCCTTTCTTCTTTTTTGTCCTTTTTTTTTTTTTTTTTTTTTTTTTTTGGAGACAGGAGTTCTCTGTATAACAGCTCTGGCTGTCCTGGAACTCATTTTGTAGACCAGGCTGGCCTTGAATTCGAATAGATCTGCTGGCTTCTGCCTCCCAAGAGCTGGGATTAAGACATGCACCAGCATCACCCGACTATCAGCCTGCTTTCTTATACAACCCAGAATCGCCAGCACAAGGATGGCACCATCCACAGTGAGTTGAACCTCACACATCAATTATTAATCAAGAAAATGTCCCATTAGACCTAAGGTTTAGGGGCAATTTGATAAAAACTGACAGAGGTTGGGAGGGGTTTATTTTTAAGGACCTGAAAAACTGAAACTGTCATGAATTTGAGACAATCATAGATAGGTCTGGTTACTTTTTTCAACTTCTCTTTTTCTCTGTGTATCCAGTAAATGTTACTGACATATGAGCAACAGACACTGACTTTGGTTAAGAT